TCCTGCTGTTGCCGCAGTACGCACTTTTCCAGGAGTGAGCTTACTGTCCCCATGCCATATTCTTTCCTGCTTCTCATCTTCCCAGATAAATACCTACTTTAATAATTGACTCCTACACATATTCCTGGCCGCCTCTTCACCATCTTTGACTCACTCCCCAAGCCCTCCCCTCTTCCTATTGTGACTTCCTTTGATGCATGATACCTTGTGGATTTCTTCACAGAAGTCATTCCCATTTTCTTCTCTCAAATCAAGTTTTGTTCAGGTCTAAGAAGCTACTCATCTACTTGCCTCAATCCCCCACAGCTATCCCATTGTTGGGTTTTTTTCCCCTCTTCTTTATAGCCATCCTCATCCCTGCTAGATCCTCTTGCCAGGTTTTCACTCTTTGTTTTCCCCTCGATATGTACATGCACTCCAAGTGCTGGAGTCCCATCTTGGAGTCTTGCCTCTCCAGACATTGCTCCATCTCACAACATCTTTCATTCACTGAACAAAACAGCCACTGTCAGGAGCGCCGTTCTTGTTTCTCCACTTTCGATCATCTCCAAAGCTCTTTCCACTCCACAGTTCCACCCATCCTGCTCTTACCACAACCCAAACAGGCTTGTAGGCAAACCCCAAAGCCACTAACTCTTTCGTATTTGGACCTCCTGGACTCCATTGCCTTAGATAATGAACCAATATGTCCTTGAGATAGCTCATCTTCTCTTAGCCCCGTGGCCATCCCCAACACAGGCTGTCTCTTCAGCCTGTCTCCTGGAGAAAATGTCTCAGCTTGCCTGGTCTCTGGCTTTTGGTGGGTACCATCCAATTGCAGAGTCCCCTGGATAACGGCACCTGTATGCACAGATTCAGCCACTGCTTCTGCAATAGTAGCTTGTGCTTCTGCTTCTTTGCTCCAAAGCTCCTCCTGTCTAAACTAAATTCTCTGCTAGTATCTGACATCTCTGCTTACATATCTAGCTGTCAGTTCTGATTTTATTACACTGTATTTGAGAGCATCTCCCTCCCCTTAAGGTAACCCCTTATTATCTCCTCTTTTGGTCACTGCAGACATCCCTCTCCTCCTGCTGCAGATCTCCCTGGCCAGTGAATCTGAATGTCAGTCTTTACCTCCAACTCCTTGCAAGGTCTTCTGAGTCAGGCAGGGTCTGCATTTTCCGTGCTTTCTGAATAACAGTTCTAAAATGTTACTCATTTTAGAGTAACAACCCACCCAGTCAAGTTTTCATCCAAGCCCACAGCTATCCTGCAACAGTTTCCTTTGGCCTCAATTTAAGGCAATCCAGCCCTACAGATTGCTGATGGAAAGCTGTTCTCCTAGTCCATCACACTGGCCAAATCACTTATCTTTTACTGCTCTCTGACAGTTCTTCTCCAACATATGACAGATTCTTTCTCTTCACTTTCAAAGTCCTGTTTGCCCTACCCACATTTTACTGATCCGCTTTGCTATCGTTCAAAGATTAACTCCCACCTCTGACGGAGCCATGATTTCATGCTCCTCTGACCATTTCTTCAGTCTTCAAATGACTCTCTCTAAAGAAAAAAGCCCAATCAGTTCTTACAGCACTACATTACCATTAGGTAATTTAATAATAGCCATAAAGGTTCATCATTTTCTCCTGTCAAACTCTGCCTAAAATCTGGCTTCACCAGAGGATCAACTGGCCAAGAGCTACAGGACATCAGAAATTTACCTTGCTATTCAATATTCTTATTGCTCCTCTGTCTGCCTTTCTCTTGCTCCATGTCTTATACTTGCTTGATGTCTTCTGAATACTTACATTTTTGTGGTACGCTCACAGAAGCCCTAAGACAGAACAGTCCTGGTTTGGGACCAGCACCCTTACTCACAAAGTATCATTTTGAAAACAACATTTATTCATGAGGACAGAAAAGAACTATGAGTTGATCAGACTGGTTTTGCCCCTCTGTGTTTTCAGAAACATCTGTCATCTGATGCTGTAAACTGGTTTGGAAGAACTATGTTGAAACTGCTCAGCTCTACCCTATGATACCAGCAAGAGCGAAACACAAACAAGCCCCCTAGTAACTGGCCAAACTTTAGCACCATGCCCTTGGAGCAAGAGGTTGGAGTTATGTCTCTCTTTCTGCCAGGGAGTTCACTCCTGCCTGAGGTAAGGACTTAAGCCGTCTGTTCCCAGTTTCACTGGGCAGATGCAGAACTGTTTGGTTCCACGATGCCAAAGAGAAGGTACTTTGGAGGGAGAAGGAAGAGGAGAGTGCGCGGAGTTGTGCTCCTGACCTCTCCCATGCCAGTCAGGGGCAGACAGACAGCAATCCTGTCTAGTCACATCCCGCTGACAAGCACATAAATACTCAGCAGGCACAGAAGGATATTTGAGCAGTGATGTTATTTTCCTGAGCACCTCGGTTTCTGGAATTCAGTGTATATCCTTGGCAGGTGAGTACCCTTGAATTTGTTGCAGTATACCTCCTGAGCTCAGGCAGGGCATCCTCCCTGTGTTCAGGCTTCCACTTGTAGACAGTAGCACAGCTACAAAGCTAAGCAGAAAAGAGACGACACTGATTCCAGGAACACTCAAAACTCCACCTCTTGTTGCTCAGGTAGAGGCAGCGGTTATTTATACAGAAGATGTTGGGGAGGGATAGGATGCGGAGAATATTCCTGTCATTCCTATCCAATCTAGGTCAGAACACCATTTTTTTTTTACTTAGGAAATTGAAGCTAGCACTGCTGATACACAATTATTATGTTCTGGGCTTTCAATACCTTCCTAATCTGGAGAGTAATCATTTCCCTTTGTTTGCTCAGTATATTTAGCAAAATAATTATAATTCACTAGATTGTCTTCTTTGTTTTGGTATATTGGCATAGTTCTCTCTCTCTCTTCCTCTGTTTCCTTTCATAGAAACTGTGGTGTCACCTCTGCATGCACATTTTTGGGGGGGAGTAACACAGGAGAAAAAAAAAAAACAACTAAATATTTTCTGACAGAAATTCTGCTTGAAGAATCTTTTCTAGCTCTCCAAAAAGAAAAGATCAAATCTATAGAAGAAATAACTGTGAAGGCAGATGTTGCACTGCCTGCTGGCTGCAGACTGTCTGCTCTGTCCATAGGGGTGAGTTACAACATGGCATCTTCCTAACCCATGTTCTGTGAATCCACACTGCCAGAGGAAGAAAGTCAGTAACAAAGCTACCTACAAGCCTGAACAGCCTTGCTGCATTCCACAGCAAGGAGCCCAAGTCATTCCTCTGCTTAATGCCACTTACAAGATGTTAGCCTAAAGCTTGAGCAGAGATCGTGGCTCAGGCACAAGCCACCCGGATACCCCAAGTCTCATGTTTAAGATACAGATGTAACTTTAAGCAACAAATCCATTTTTGAAATTGGGATTCCAGATATCATCGATTACAGAAACCTGGGCCCCTCTTCCCAAAACACTTTAGGAGGGCAGCACATCCAAAGGCCCATCTGAATGGGTCTTTCCCCTTGTCTTTACCCTTTGTTTCTGTGCAACTGGGTTATTATTTTTCATTATTTCTATTATTTCTCACCGGACTTGACTTTCTGGGTTTGATGTTTACTCCAGTTCGCTAATCTGCACTCAAGACAATTTCCAGGGAAAGGTCTTTCCTGCAGTTTTGAGCAGATGGGGCCCATGTCTCTTGAGACAGGTAGTGTGCAGCCCTGCTTGATGGCACCCACCAGGAGGATATTGGGCACAAGGCTCCTTTCAGGAGGAGGCCTGGAACATCCCTCAGTAGGCTATCGGCATTACACGAGAGTATTCGTAACAACAGATTCAAAACCTTTTTCTTTCTCACAGTTATTTTTAAAGCTGTATTTTAGTGCTTTTTGTTCTGCTCAATACCACTGAAACATGCTGTATAGAAATCATAGACGTAAACACTGACAAGGGAGCAGAGAAGTGGAGGGTGAAGGAAGAGAATTGGGCTGTTACTCCTTCTCTCCACACCCTTTTTTTTTTTTTTCTTTTGTAGCATCTCCTTACGAAGCTCAGCACAAGCACACATTTTGCTTGTGGAGTTTCAGGTATTTTGCCACTGCAAATAGGACTCTGAGTTTGTCAATTCAGTTCTCAAACCTCACTCGGGAGGGGGGGAAGGGAGAAGGGATATACATGCAAATCAAATTTTATCCTTTAATGGATTTGTACTCACAGCATGTCCCACAGCACACCATTATAAGCATTCACATTAGACACAGTGATCACATTTCTGAAGCCTTTATCTTTCGCCCATTGAAATCAGTGCCCATAAGGATTAGATTTCATATCTTAATGAGAGCGTGGCCCCAGCAATACTGTGTCTCTCACTGCCTGTTTCATCTTGATGGAAATGCACCTTGCTGGCATGGTTTAGTGAGAACACTCCTCCCTCCTCCCTTCTGTACCGTAACAGCTTTTTGGACAGCTGTGTTGTCCTGAATTATACAGGCATGATTTTTATTGTCTATAAAATAGAAAAAAACCTGTAATCACTCCAAATTTATTTTAGGCACACTGCAATGGATGTGATACATCTATGTCTTCATTAATTTTGTGCAGTGGGCAAAAATGTGATGCTTCAGAGGGGAAACAGGAAGAAAAAAAGAGAAAAAAAGAGAACACAGCACCCTTTCCAAATGTTTAGGTGAAATCTCTATATTCTGAAAACAGAGAGTTTGAAAAGCTATTTCAAGCAGTAACACATTTCATGCTTATTCCTTCTTCTTTCCAGACTTCTGAACATGACCAGTAGCAACAGCTCCAAAAGGAGATAATTTATACTGGAACAAAGTTTAAATAGCATATGATGATTAAAAAGAAAAGATTTCTTTGCACTTTAAAAAAAACGGTTCAACTGTACAGCTGTAGTCAGACAACCACCAACTACATAAGTTTCTCTATTTAGTTCTTTTCACTGTCTGCCCAGTCTACAGAGCAGTGTCCCTACAGAATGGCATTCTGCTGTACCCCTAATTGTATCTGGTAATGAAAATTCATTGGAGTCCTGTTTACTTTTATGCCTGGTAGTCTAGAACTCTTTCTAGTTCACTGGAACATTGGCTGCAAATCCACACATCACTAAGTTTTTCCATAGGAGCATCACTCATCATTAAAAACCAGGACTAACACAAGGCACAGGCAGTGCTGCTGAGGGCAGCTGACAACCTCAGCAAGCAAAGGCACCTGCCCCCCTGCTTATTTTGCCTTTGCCCAGTTGGGAAGAGGTAGCTGTGCTGCTGGACCATATAGCAAGCACCTGCTGCTAAGGTCAGGGACGGTCACTCCTAGGAAACTCAGCTCCTACATCCAACCCTCAGCAGTAGCAGGAGCACCTACAGGTTTTCCCTCCAGCCCAGGTGCACCAGCTCTGCCCTTTCCACTCTCCCTCACAGGAGCAGCCTGCAACCTTCCATCCTCAAGATAGCAAAACCTAGTGGTACCAACCTCACTGCGAAGTCTCCAGGCTTGTTTAGACCATTAAAGCAAACAGTCCCAGCTTGGAGATCATCATTCCTGTTGAAACATGCCAGGTACCCGCACCGCAGAGCTGTAAGTCAGACATTGCTGAGCACTCGCCTAGGACAGTGCTGCTTTCTCTCATGCTTCACACAGGCAGCACAGCATGGCTTCACACTGTGAAGCCCCAGCTCTTTCTTCAGGCAGCTGTGCTCTGCGCTTTCAGTCTTAGCAAGACAACCTACAGATGTTCCCTGCCGACAGATTAACTCTTACCTGGGCTTGCGAAGGTCTAAAAGCAGAGTCAAAGCCATTCTGCAGAGAGTCCAGAAAAGGCTGGATTTTGTAGAGGCCATGCGTTGTCTGGCTTGAGCGAAAGGCCACAATGTGGAAGTACTTCAGGATCTTCTCAAACCGTGATTGTGTCATGATAAGTGCAATGCTCTTGTTGCTGTAGAAGCCGCTGCTCCAAATGCTGAGAACAGACTCACAGTGGTGGATGCTGGTTGATATCATGTAGCCTAAGAAGGCCTTCATTTCTGTCAAGGTGACGTCAATCCAGGCATCGTCACTACCAAACCTCTCCTGGTACTTCTTGGCATACATGTTGGTTTGGACCACCATATTCTTTAGTACGTTGTCAGGGACAAAGAGTTGAAAAAAGTCCATGGCACTGGCAGTCAGGGGCATTTTTCGTGTTGGACCTAGGACAAAAGCAAGAAGGAAAGATTAAGCCTGATCATCACAAGGCATGCCCGACACCAGCAATTTAAAGCAGGATTAACTTCCCTAAAGCAGGGAAACAAGGCCAAAGTGATGGCATGTCAGCTAATTCCTTTAAAACTATACCCACTGTCTGACAGATCTCGTCAGGAAACTTCCTCCCTATATTCTCTGTCTTCCTCTTATACGATACAAGTACAACACACTCTGAATAGTTTCTTCCTCTGCTCTGCACACTCATTAGTTTGTAGCATGCAGGTCTGCAAGGCAGCATGCATTTAATTTTTCCACTTCTACACTATCTGTACCTTTTACCCTCAGCAGCTGTTTTGGCCTTTTTCTGGGTAGTCTTTTATTTGTCCATATGCATGTCAAAGCAGTGCCTTCCTCAAAACAGCCCAGAAGGAAGGTGTCCAAGCCCTCTGGAGAAAGAGTGCTGCCCCGTCCCAGCTGACATGATTCACGGGCACTAGAACCCGATCCCAACTTTCCTTTTGCACCTCCGATTCCTGGCCGGTTCATTGTCATTAATCCTGTGACTTTCAACTCTGCTTCTGCTCCATACACAGAGCCATGCAGATCACCTCCATGCGCTTTGAGTTCCGTGTCTCTGCCACCCCACTGCAGCCGTATCTTGGCTCTGACAGCCCCAAGAGAGCACGTTACCAGAACAAGTCAAAGACACCACGTGGCTAGCGTTGCTGCCCCACGCCACAGGGAGTATTTTTAGCATTACAATGCGTACGCTGGTCCTCTTCCTCCCATAATGTAATAAGCCTCGCAGTCCCATGCTGTCATTACTCTAGCTTTTCACTGATCTTGCACCTTCTCTGCCAGTTTTAACTATTCCGTAAGAAGAGGTCGGGGGGGAAGGGCGGCTCTAAGGGTTGGCAGCACTGTATCAGTGTAACAAGGTTATCCACTCAGACACCAGATTACATTAAACCGAATTAGGAACATCGAGCCTGCAATACCAGGGACGCAGACACCAGTCCTTACAGCCCTCTCTCTCTAATCCCTTCCACAAGCTAATTAAGCTTCATTTTAAAAGTAGTGTTTTTCATGCTCCCACCCCGTGGCAGTGCTTTAGTCACCAAGAAAGGGCTATGGAGACAGGGACATTCTCTATTCTCCTACAGAAGCAGTGAAAACAAATGCACCTGAAAGAGGGAGCATGGACAAACCCAATGGACAGGGCAGTGCTTAAGAGCAGTTCTACAGCCCTGTGTAAAAGATAGTGTCATGATTGTAACCCCAAACTAAGAGTTGGATCCAATAAATACTGCACCTCAGTTTAACAGCCTTCAGCCTTGGGACTGCCTGAAAAACACTCTTCCTGATCAAAAGCAGGAGGCACACAGGTTCTCATTTGAAGTTCTGCCTAACAAGAGCGAGTCTTGCACTACATGTCTGCTTGGATCTCAGCATCAGCTCTCCCAGCTGAATCAGAGCACGAGATTTGCAATTCTACCATCTGGCTCTGCAAAGACCCGCTACCGCGTTGGTCAGGTTGCACGCTCCGGTACCCTGTATCTCAGCTCACGCCCTTAGCAACTTAGCTCTAAGCAACAACTATAGCTTGCAGAAATTTTGCTTGAAACAGTACTCTGAGGAACTACACAAATACTGCTGTTGGACTTGCTCTTAAGCCTTAATGTTTGGTGCACTCTAGTGAACTCAAGCTATTAGGAGGACAGCAAAAATAGCACCAAGACATTGAAACAGTGAACCTTCAAATTGCAAAGGTGGCCAAAAAAGCAAACAAAAGTGGATTTTTTTTTTTCTCCAAGCACAGTGGGGAAAGAAAGATATTTAAAGCTGACTTTCCGATTTTAATTTGTGAGACTCAGAAACTGGAAGTGAAACAGTTCAGTTGAAAGCACATTCCTCTGTATAGCAAGATCAGAGTAAAGAACCCCACACAAACCATGTTCTGATAAGGACAGAGCAGAAAATTTCAGCTTAAATGATAAAAGGTTTTTGTTATCAAGTGAAAAATATGGCGCTAGAATAGGTATACTTACTTAACCTTAACTGCTATTGCAATAATAAAGCATCTTAACAAAGACCTCTCTTCTTTTGATCAGGAGATGTATATTCTGCTAGTACCCGCTAGACTGCTATAGCTGACATAAAATGCTCTACAAATGATTCTGTATGAATGACTTATAGTACATCACTTCTTTCTTCCCCACAACTTAATAAAGTTTTGACATTCTACAGTAGATATGGCTTTCTGATATCAACACACTGCACAGAGTGTATTCCTAGTTATACATGAAGCCATGAGTAGCTACTGAATTGAACTCCAGCACCAAGGCAACCTTCCAGGTAGAGCATAGAGGTAATTTTTTAAAATTCTTGCCTTGAGAAGCAGAAGCTGGTCATGGGGGGGTAATATTTTAAATCTTGCCTACAGCAACCAAGATGCATTCATAAAGCGTTAAGTCTTAAGAAGTGAAATATGTTGGTCTTCAGACAGGTGGATATGGACAATCCGTATGTGCTGGACTCCAGCTTTAGGGAGTCAAGAGCAGTCAGAAGCACAAAAAGGTACTTTTGATGTAATTAAATTTTCAGTAGCTGCACAGAGTTTACCTTGAAAAGTGATTATGGAAAACTGCCAGGTATACTGGATAAGGACAATCCTTTCCTACCCAGCAGTCCTGCTCCAGCTGCACAGAATCTCCTATCTGCTTTCCTTCTTGAAATAAATATGCAAGATTTGTATCCCATTGGCCATGCAGAACCCACACAGATCTAAAAAAGTGAGCTGAATCACCTTCTGACTCAAACATCAACCTAATTGACTAAATATAATTCTGAAAGCCCTTGTATAATCTCATTGTCTTAAAAAACAGCCTTTATTGGCAAAGTGAGTACAATTGATTCATAATTTACTGATATGCAGTAAAACAAGAGTGACATTGAATGTCTGTAGGAAGAGAGCTGAATTTTTAACATGAATTGGGTTTTGCATAGTTAATGACTAGTCTAAAATAAATTATTTAAATATGACTTTCTATCTAAGTACACAAATACATCTCATATATAGAGCTAACCGTGTAAGAAAACGGAATAGTGAATTTGCACTTTTAAAGGATTTTTACATCAACTTAAATGGCACTTACCCAGAAAACACTGGTATGAAAAGAGTTCAGTGTTCCATACATGCGCCGTTTAACTTTCAAAGCTTTACTCAGTCAAATAAAATAGTGGCTTTGCCTAGTCTTCCATCCTCAGAATGAATATACGACTGTATGTAAAATTCAAATTTTTCTCTCTCCTCTGCCCTAAAGTATTGTGCATGGAGAATATATTTATTTATGTAGGGTTTTTTGCTTTAAAAACCAATCAGGATTTCCAATATAACTTACAGAGTCAGAGCACAAAAGCACTCTTGGGAGTTTCCAAATGTCCAGCTAGACCCAGTGGTCTGTGCACACCTGGAGTGGGGACAGATACTGAGTAAGCTCCGGCTGGGCAGCACACACCCCAACACTAGCACTCTGGGCTTGCTTTAAGTGACTTTGCAGAATATGGAAAAGAACATAAACTTCCTCTGTCATGATACAATAGACTCTCCTCCTTCCTTCTCACCCTGTCTACCAGCAAAAACTTGCAAGTTGACTGCTGCTGAGTGCACATGCAAGTCATTACCGTTACTACATCCTATTTTGACCAGGTTGGTCCCATTTTCTGTTTTGTGCTCAAGAATAATGCCCCTGCCCCCCAAGCCACAGCTATTTATATCATAAGAATAGACTCAATAAATGAAGAAGCTAAGCAGGGAAAGTCATTTGTGTTTGTGCAGTGGAAATAAGATTGTGGAGCAGAGGCTGGCACCTCGCTCTCAGACTGCACACGTTGCAGAGCCCATTTTGGCTCAACTCAGCTCAGGGCAAACTGAGCAGCGTCACTGGGTCCAATGTTTAGCAAGAGAGCAGGCTGCATGCTCAACTTCTCAGCAAACATACACATTGCAGAAAAAACAGAAAGATTTATGTGAAACTTCTGTGTGACCATCCTTCAGGCAGCCCCTGCGCATCCTCCTACAATCTCTTGTCTTCTCTCTTGGATGGGTCCCCACCAGTCACATTCTTCTCCCTGCTCCAATCCCACCAGTGTTTCTAGCCTTCCTTACTGAGCAGGACTTCAAGAAAAATAAGAACTCCAGGTGAATTACCTGCATTTTCTTTAGTTAACTGGTTTGCAGGACTAATTTGAGTGCACATTGTAAATAGGTTATTTTACCCTTTTCCATGTTTCCTGTTCTGATTACCAATCTGTTATTTAGTAGCCCAGAGTTCACAGACTCAGAATAGTAAGATGGAAAGTTTTGAAACCTACTGTAATCTATCAGTACTTACAACATAACATATAAATCTTAAGGAGGTCAAAAGCATTGTCATTTTGGGCAGGATAAATCAGATGTGTAAGAAGAAAAGGAGGTGGAAGAAAATTCTCCTTTTGGTCTGCTGTACAAAAGACTTTGTGCTCTCATTCAAAGCATAACTGAAGTTAATGATAAAATATCCCATTATCTTCATAGGCCTAGGTATTAACATACGTATGCCAAGCCAAATTGCACGGTTCGGAAACAAACCTTGCACAGAGCTAATCCAGGGTTGACTTTGAAATTAATTTTAACTTCATTAGCACCTGGGCAGACTTCAATACTCCTGAATCAGACACAGGAATTTAGAAGTCATTTTACTGTCCTCTTTGAGCAAAAATCTAACAATATATAGTCACACGTGAGGAAAGCACATTTAGGTATATTATATACAGATACATACCAAAGAAAAATCTATCCAGAACCTGTTATTTTCTGGGAATTGTTAAGTATTTTCTCCTCTGACATATGGCACAGCTTTCAATGACCAGGGTTTGAAAAGCCAATTAATTTCTTCTTCTTCTTAAGTCCAAGCAATTAGAGACCGTTTTATATTCCTGAGAAGTTACCT